TTTTTTTTTTTTTTTTAGATAGGGTCTTGCTATGTAATCCATGCTGGCCTTGAATTCTTGATCCTCCTGCCTTGGCCCTCTGAGTGCTGGGATTACAGGCATAACCACCAGACCTGGCACTAAGACATCTTTCTAAACTTAACTGATATAAAGTATTGTTGCTAGAAATAAAGCCTACAAAAGTATAGAAGACAGAGAAACAAGTTAAATGGTACCAGGTAAATCCAGAATGTGGAACATTCTCAAGACAAATGCTTTGGCCTCTTGAAAGTCAAATTTATGGGGACAAAAGGATAGAACTGTCAATTATTCTAAATAAGAGGAGGCTAAATTCATAACCACCAGATGCAACACGTTAATCTTTATTGGATCTTGGTATTGTTTAAAAAGCTATAAAAGATAATTGAGAACAGTTAAGGAATTCTGAATACAGGTAAGCAAGAAACTGTTAGGGAATTATTGTCAATTTCATTGAGTGAGAGAATGTCTTTGTTGGAGATACGTGAAAGCTGATTTTCTAATATAAAAGAATGCATTTACATTGGTAAATCTGGCAAGATGTTAACAAGTATTAAAGTATATAATCCAGATTATATTCTTCATTCTTTCTACTTTTCAGTAAATTGAAATTTTTCAGATAAAAAGCTTAAAAGCCTAAGTCATTGGATAATTTCTGTATCAACAATAGATTATTGAACATCAATGACCACTTGATTCTATTTTACAGAGGGAAATGTTGAACAAAAAAGAGACCTTGTTAAGAGTGAACTGACAAGAAGTGATAAAAGAGTCAAGGTGTATGAAACAGAAAAACAGAACACTTGGATTCAAGTTCCAAACCTGAGTTCCAGTTTCACCATGTGTAAAAAAGTAAGAAAATAAGCCACAAGCATATCACAAGTTTTGTGAAGTAATATACCTGAATGTGCTTTGAGAAATACATAATAATGTAAATCACATCATTTTATGACAATTGTACACCAAATGATTAGAATGTTAAAATGTTGCTTTTTTTCCCCAAATAAAAAACCTTTCAACCCATGTCCAAACAGGCCTCCCTACAACAGGACCATCACCTGAGCTTAAATATCACCTAGCACAATTCCTTGGGGATGAAACACAAAAGCACATACCTCCAGTTTGTGGATACTCCTACTATCTCCCGCAACTTATCCCGCACTGAAACAAAATAAAGAAGTCACTCCATGAAACAAAGAAATATGAGAACTGGATTACAGCAATGAGCTCAAGAACTGTGACAAGCGATTCATGCACTCAAAGGGTTTCAAGATCCATGAATCCCCATTTAATGCCATAACAAACAGCTCAGAGAAGCATCGGGCAGAGCTCTACTCCCTAAAAACCTAAAACAACTGTACTGTCTCTTTGGTGCTAAGAAGAATATCTTTGTGCCAACCATTGGGGTTTATTTAAACAGAAAAGAAAATGTTCAATATTCATTTCATGGGGCTTTATCAGTGTCAGGAGCCAAGTTCCTTTATGATGGAGATATTTTAAACAGGATCCCTAACTTTCTCCTTATAGCAGTATTAGATCAAATTACTTAATTCAGGGACTAATACTAATATCCAAATCTGAGTCTCTAAAATATAATTGATATCTCATATATTTATACTATCCTAATTGTTAGAACAGTTTAAGCCAGAAAAATAAAGCAAAGACTTAAATCAAGCTAAGGCAAAGAATGCAATTTAATTTTAGTTAATGCCCACTATGCGAGAGCAAATTAGCTTAAATGTAAGCGCTTAACAGAAAAGTTGATACTAATTACCACACACACACCGTGTTTCACATGTATAGGTGAACATGCTATATGGATAAAGGGAAAATCAATTAGATTAATTAGCAATAATTCAAAACTAGAAAATAAAAATTAACCTCCAGTATTTCAAATAATGTGTTTTTCTAGCATTTTAAAATATATGTTCCAGTCACAAGAAATTGATTATAGCTATCCTTGGTCCTTAAATAACTAAATGATCGAAACCAAATATGGTTAGATTAATATGCACTTTAACTCTTGTGAAAAATTGATTGACAGTTCTATCAGACAGACACCACAAATTTGGTGTATACTCTAATTACAGTTAAATCATAAAGAACTGCAAGAATAACCATTAGTAAAGTAGCTTTATTTCTAATTTTTTTCCTTCTGATCCCCTTAAATAAAAGAATGGACACAAAATACCCCAAACTGTACACAAGACTACTGATGCTCAGTGACATAAAATGATTACTAGTTTAGTCAGGATAAAGAGAGGCAGGTGCATACGTGTTCATATTTTATTTGGACTCTTTAAACTTCAATTTTAATTATAACAAATACTCTAAATTGATAAAGGCAATCCATAGTTTGCACATCAGATTAGTAAATGAAACTAACTTCGACTATACATGGATTAACAGGGTCCCTCTAACATAACAATGGCCTAGGAGTGTTTAGTTAGTACAAATGACAGGCTCATCTCTTCATGCATTCAACCTCTTTCCCATGCCTCTTCCATGCTTTCAGTACCTATGTACAGGATGTAAATAACTTCACTAAAAGAGCTTAGCCCCCAAGGCTTCCAGAACACTACAGATTCTGAGTGTGATTTCTACACAGTTATTATGTAAATGTTCTATATTTTATAAATGAGATGTCTATGAAATGTCTACATTTAACATGTATGTCTCATTAGCCCTAAATACCATGCTGTGCACCGCCCAAAATAAAAGTAAAACAGAGTTTTTCACCACATAGGCATAAAAGGTTAAACACCCAAGCTTGCCTTCATGCATGTTTAGGACTCCATGTTTGCTGGGGCCCTTGGATTCTTGGGTCAGTCTTCTGCCAGCAGTAAGCAGTCCCTTGCTCAAGGCAGAAAGCCTGTAAAACAAGATAAAACACACTTAAAGTCAGTTCCAGAGCTTCTTCCCTGAAAACCTCAAAGACCTACGCCTCCTCTAGACTTTCTGGCCATACCACACCCTTAGTATGTACTGTGTTATAAGAGTCTGTAGTTGTTTCAAAAGTGCAGGTATATTTACATATAAGGGTACTCTACCATAAATCATCTCTCTCTCTCCAACTATTTGAGAGTAAAGACCAATTATGTAATTATCTACAAAAATAAAAGATGTGAACCAGGTTTAATGGATTTAATGTTGCTTTCTATTTGATTGGATTCAGAAGCCCAGAATTGATTTGGTAAACAACTGAGCAAACTAATTATAAACACTTTCTCTGGTCTTTACTATCATACCATATTTCCTCAATAAATAAGATAAACCCAATTATAAATAAATCAGTTTTGAACTTTGAATTAGCCCTCTGCAGATTCAAAGTATTTATTGTACTTCTGCAGAAATTTCCCAGATCCCTGATGGAATAAAATAAAAGCCACATATCCAAATGTGCCTAACTTAGCCTCTCAAAAGTAAGCTGATTTTGGTTCTCTATTGCTTAAGTGTTGGTTCCTAGCCACACACTATCATATCAGGGGTAAGATACATATATTAGGAATTAACAAACTGATCCCTGAAACACGGTGAAGAAGGTATAGAAAGGGTCAAGAATGCTAGATACCGTCACTCATTCTATCTCTTGTTGCTAGGAATTCTTACTATCTAGTGTGGGGATAATGACTAACCAAAAAAGTGAAATATATTTTTACTTTTATCCAGAGCCTAAACTACTATACATTTCTCTTCTAAATTACAGCAAAAAGTCTCTCAGTAAACATACTTTGTAAAATCTACATGGAGCTTTGACATGTGTGCTGGAGGAGCAACTTCTTCACCTTTCACCAAGCCAATTAATCTAATTCCAAAGAACACATAAATATGAGCACTTGTTCACTAGCTAATTTAACTCCTTAGCCATCCAGTCACATTATTTAGCTGTGGTACAATTCTTACTAAGACCAAAATGCTTGCTGGGGGGATTTAGGTTTGGATTTTATGTTTATTCTTTAATCATATAGCTAACAAGCCTCTATTTGTTTTGGTTTTACTTTTTCCAAGTATCATTTCCATTTCTGTACTTTTATACATAGATTACTATTCCAATCTTCTCGACCTTAGCCTTCTAATTTACTTTTCTGAGAACACAATTTGAATTTTCTTTTGTAGTACTGGGGATCATGCACATACTAGGCAAGCACTCTACCACTTGGGTCATGCTCCCAGCCCAAACTTTCTATTTTTTCACCATTTCATGTATATTTTGTAGGTTCAAGACTCTTTCTGAAGGAAATAGGTTATATACTTCCTAAAATTATCATGCCATCTGAGAAACTAGCATTCTGTAACTGAATGTGTCTGGTTTTATGGGCTTCTGGGGGATTCAGGGTTTTTGTTTGTTTTTTCTTTTGGTGGTACTGGTGTTTGAACTTGGCCTCGTGCTTTCTAGGCCAGCACTCTTGAGCCATGTCTGTAGAACCTGACTTTAAAGAATACACTGGAAAAAAATTAATTCTTTCCACTACTATCATTAGTTAAGAGCAAAAACTCATGCCATCAATACATTAGTCAGCAATTATAATAGAGTCAGTAAATGGATCCAATATAAGAAATAGACTCTGACTCGGAATAGCTAAATAATCTGAATTCTTACTACAAACTATCAGGAGCTACATAACCAAGCTCACATATCTGGATACATATTTGGATAAATATACAGGAATTTTTGTCCTGTTACTAAAATAAGCACCATTTTCTGCAGAGTAATGAAAATCATCCCATCCTGCCTATGAGAGAAGTCATATAGTAAAGATGCTAAAAGTCCATGCTGTGTATTAACTGAGTAACCTTAGGCAAGTTATCTAACCACCCTGAGCCTGTTCCCTAATCTGTAAATTGGGGATAATAATATTATCTATCCTATAGGACTGTCATAGGGATAAAAAAAGTAACACATATTAAACTCTTAGGGGTATACCTAATACATTGAAAAACCCTAAAAAAAAACTTTAGCTATTATTAGTCCAGAAAGTCACGCTTCTCCAAAGTGTGTCCTAAAGACCAAAAAGAACCAGGGCTGAGAACGTAGCTCAGTGGTAGGGTGCTTGCCTAGTATGCACAAGATCCTGGGTTTGATCTCTACCACCAAAGAAAAAGAATCAGAAATTTAGAAACTAAGCCAGGCACTATGATGCAGAATCAAATGGAGATAGTGGAGAAAAGAGCTCACAACCACAGAGAAACACTTAGGCCAATTTATTTGGAAAATTATGGTCCTACAGCCCTATTTTTTGCATGCAACCTTAAAAAAATAGGGAATAGATTTTTTTAGTTTTGAGGTACTGAGGTTGAACTCAGGGCTTCACACTTGCTAGACAGGCACTCCACCACTTGAGCCATGCCTCCACCCCACTCCTTTTTGCTCTGGTTATTTTTGACGGTTTCACTTTTTACTCAAGCCAGCCTGAACCACAATACTCCTATTTTATGCTTCCCTTCGCTACTAGGATGACAAGCACACATCACCACATCCAGCTTTTTTACGTTGAGATGTTGTGTTGCAAACTTTTTTTGTTAGAGTTGACCTGGAACCCTGATCCTCCCCAATCTCAGCCTCTCAAGCAGCTCAGATTACAGATATGAGCTACGATGGCTCAGCAGAAATATATTCTTGTGGCACAACAAATGCATAATTTGAAAACTTCAAAAAAAATTCTGCTTATATCACTCATATATTGATATAATAAATCTCCATAATACTGTAAACACAACATTCAAGAAATGGTAACTTTTCAATACAATTTGGTACCCTATCTACTGATGATCTGATAAAAACTGTGAACCCTCATGCCAGGGGTGATAGGAACACTTTTTTTTTTTTTTATGAGACTGGGGTTTGAACTCAGGGCTTTGCACCTGCAAAAGGGAACACATTTTTGCTGATACACAAAATGGTATACATTACTTCAAGAGGTTCATAAACAATACCCTTCAACAACCCCATGGGCCCCTATATTTTTAAAATTCTGACTAACAAACTGAGGCTTTAGGAGTGGGGCATGGCTCAAGTGGTACAGCACTTACCTAGCAAGAGCAAGACTCTGAGTTCAATTCCCAGTACCATTAAAAAAGAAAAAGAAAAAAAAACCAAGGCTTTAATCGCAGACGATTTTTTTTCCCAAGTGCCAGTCAACTAGCACTGTCCAGATAGAACCTGGTTATTCTGATTCTTCCCGCAACACAAAAGTGTGCATTCACCTGATGTTTCAGTCAACAATGGACCATATAGGGCTGGTGGAGTGGCTCAAGTGATAAGAGTGCCTGCCTAGCAAGCATGAGGCTCTGAATTCCAAATCCCAAAATGGCAAAAAAATAAAATTAAATAAATAAATAAATAAATATATATATATATATATATATATACACACACACACACACACATATACATTTCTTTTGGTTCTCTTTTTAATTTCTGGACTATATATTTTAAAACTAGAAAAAAGCTTATAGAATAAGTGTATTAAAAAGAAAATATTTTTGCACAGCTGTACAAAAGCTTGTGTTTTAAGCTGATTGACTCACCTGCAGCAACTCCTAGTCCTGCAGGCTCCATTCACTTTAAATGCCCTATACAAGTGTACCACTTTTTATCTTGTATACCCTACTCTTACTATATCTTGTCTATGTTTAGACACATAAATACTCACCATTGTGTTACAATTGCCTGTAGCACTGAGTACTATAACATGCTGTACAGGTTTCTAGCCTAGGAGCTACAGGCTATACCATATTGCCTAGATGTGTAGTAGGCTAAACCATCTAGGTCTGTGTAAGTATGCTCTATAATGTTCACATCACAACAAAATCTCCTAACAACACAGTTCTCAGAACATATTCCATCTTGACCATAAAATGCAGCACGAGGTAGAGGAGGTAGGAGAATGGTTTAAACAATGCCTAACACTTCAGTACCTCAGGGTTACTGGCTTATCCACTGAAAAACCCATAGGCACCTCACAACGAAATTTCCTAGGCACTTAGAAGAAACTGTCATGAGACCTTTAGAACACTCGGGTCTCAGAACCTCATGACTGAACCTTTCCTATGAAAGAAGACCAAGGAACCCAACCACTCCACGGCTTACCTAGGGAATCAGAGTCACCTGGAATTGTGAAAAGAAATGGCTTGGCTCCATCTTGGGTCCCAGGCTTACAGAGGATGGCAAGAGAAATTTTTCAGTACAATACAAGGCCATGCCATTAATATGCCCTCTCCTTTGAACAAATACCTCAATTTAGAGACTAAATAAAGTCAGGTGATGGTTTTATGAGTCTGAAAAAAAGAAGCTATATAGGTTATACACAAGTCAAATAACCTGATTATCTCAGTCTGTAATCATCTATGAGATCCTGTAAGGGGAAGACATATGGGCAAGACAATGGCTTTCCACATCATATCTAATGCAAGTTAAAGTTGCTGCCCTTATTGTAATGACTTTTAACCTGTCTTCAAATAGTGCAACAAAGTTTTTTATTTTTTAAGTGATATGAGGGAAAGAGGTCAAGCCATCCCCTTCAGCTGATAGCAAAAGTCCCCAGGAACAGTGAAAGAAACCCAGGACCCCCAAGAAAACTTGGTGGAATCAGTGTCCATCACAGCCACTGTGGGCTGCTCCAGAGGGGCAGGCCCACCCAACAGAAGGACCACTTCAGAAAGGAAAGTAGATGTGAGACCCCTGAAACCCAGCCAAGCAGAAAGAACCTAGAAGTGTGAGTTGGGGACAGACAGACATGCCCTGGAGTCTAAAGGCCTCAATTCTTAACTGTGTCAACTGGTACCAAAGGCATACTCCTCAGCAAGCGGTCCAATCAAAGCAGCTACCTTACAAGATCCATGAGTGTCTGCCTAACAAGTGTGAAGCCCTAAGTTCAAACCCCAGTGCCACCAAAAAAAAAAAAAAGTGCTCAAGTGGTAAAGTGTTTGCTTAACAAGGTCCTTGCTACTCATTAAAGGTGAAGTTCCACCTGGGAATAGTGGCTCCCACCTGTGATCTAAGTACTCGGGAAGCTGAGGCAGGAGGATTGCAAGTTCGAGGCCAGCCTTGGCTACATAGTGAGACCCTGTATCAAAACCAAAAAAAACAAAACAAAATAAAAAGGTGAAGTTGCAATCAGCACCAGGGTTCTAATCACAGTCCAAAGGCCCTAGTAGCCAAAAGATACCCTGCAATCTTTGCCCATGCAGTAACACACTTAAGTCAGACTCCAAGTGTGTCAAGTACTTAACCCTGAAAACGTTCTTCAAATAAGACCAAAGAAGCCAGGCGCCGGCTCACGCCTGTAATCCTAGCTACTCAGGAGACAGAGATCAGGAAGATCGTGGTTCCAGACCCTATCTCGATAAAATCCATCACAAAAAAAAGGCTGGTGGAACGGCTCAAGGTGTAGTTCAAACGGCCAGTATTGCAAAAATATATATATATATATGGGGAGGGCTGGAGAGGTAAGGTGGAACACCAAATACTAGTTTTCTAACAAGTGGCTACCCCAAAACAGTTTCCAGCCACACCCCTGATGAGCAAAGAAAAAAGGAATTGCAGGGTAACACCCAACTTCCTCCCTTAAAAATACTGCTTTCCCTTTAATATCAAACTTCGTGCAGATGTCGCTAAGTGAGCCCGCGTGTCCCTACCCTAGGCCAGTGAGTCTGTGTCCAGGCAGAGACCCGGTGACCGGGCTCCCTTTCTCTCCAAACCCAAAGGTCCGCGTGGCATTCGTTCCTCCGGCCCTGACCCGCTTCTACCGCCCAACCTGCTCCCAGCTGGAAGGGAGGGCGTGAGCACGCTCTCCCACGCCCAGTTACCTACCGCAGCGTTGCCCGCCTCATCTTGCTTGGCAGCTTGGCACGCGGTTGGAGAACTGAGCCCCGCGTACAGGTCAGCGGAGGGAAACCGGCGCGACAAAAGTGCACAAGTGTGGGCGCGGGCGCGAGCACGAGACCGAATCACACTCCCCACGACCGCGCCCTTGCAGAAGGCCGACTGGGGGCGGGATCTTAGGGCGGGACCTCACTATACTCAGGGGGCGGGGCCATGTTGTCCGGGGGGCGGGCCTACCTTGCTGTGCGTGGCATCCCCTGCCCTTTCATTGGCGGAAAGCTAGAGTCCGCCTCTGCGGAACTTCCCACTCAATCATCTGTGGGGGGCGTGCTTAACCCGAGGACCCGCCTCTTCCCGCCATTGTTGAATAAATGAACCACACAGTGCCGCTGCGGCGTGATGTGGAGGTGACCCGGAGCTTCACGCGGTTGAACTCTGCTATTCCATCCCTCCACTCCCAGTCTGTGGTTCTTGACCTTGAGATTTCAGCATGAAATCTCCTGAGCAGTTTTCCAAAATAGTGATGTGTGGGACCCATCATTTGGACTTTCTGATTTGGTCATGGGTGTAGTCTGGGCACTGGCACTTTTAGACAACTGTCCCCAGGTGATGCTAATGTAACTGAAGGTCGAGAACCAGTGACCTAATAGGAAAAAATTGTTCTTCTTCTATTCTTGGTCTGCTCCCTAGTATTTGACAGTTGGATATTTTGGCTGACCGAGAGTTTGAAGGCCAGCTAAAAACGATTTCACCATATGACCTGATTTTCCATTTCATTCAATGAATTTTTATTGAGCTGTTTCCATTGCCAGGCAGTTATAAACGCTGCAAGTGGAAAAAAAAAAAAGACAATCCCTGCCATTAAAGGGGGGAGTCTTTTATTACAGGGAAGAAAAGCAAATCAACAAACAAGTTATCAAATAATTTCAAACTCGGTAAAGCGTCTAAAACAAGGTAATGGACAATATATACACGTTTTGTGTTGTCAAAGATGGTAATTTCCTAGGAGGCAGGGGCCATATTTTTTTTCAAAACCCCATGCTTAATAAAAATTAGTTGATTTGAAGGGCTGGGGGCATGATTCGAGTGGCAGAGCACTTAATAGCAAGCACAATGCCCTAAGTTCAAACACTGACCAAAAAATGAAAGTTAGTTGATTTGAATTAAACTTGTCTTTCTCGCTGCTCTACCTAAATTTATATCAGTCCCATCCAGAGGACTTCCCTTTTGACCTGCAGGGATATTCCCTTCATTTTTGTTCATGTTGTTTGTACTTTTTCAGTTGTGATTTTGTTGTGCTTTGTGTCAGCTATACTTCTTTTATTTTTTGGAGACAGCCCATGCTGATCTCCTGCCTCAGCCTCCCAAAGTTGCTGGCACAGCTATACTTCTTTGTACTCTGGCACATCTAACAGAGTGTGATAAATATTGTTCTTTTTTACTTCAACATTTGATTGAAGGAATAGGAAGCTCAGGGAGAAAAATTAAGTTCAAGAGAATTTCTTCAGAGCCAAGTGTGGTAGCACAGGTCTGCATGCCCATCACTCAGGAGGCTTAAGCAAGAGGATCATAAGTTCGAAGCCAACCTGAGCTACATGGTGAGACACTGTCTGAAAAAAATAAAAAGAAAATTTTTCAAGTTTTATATATATATATGTATATATATATATGGTATAATAGGTAATGACAGTTTATAATCGTTATGCAATATGTCACCTTGCATCAGCTTCCAATATGTAGCTGGGCACATTCTCATCAGCATATAAACAGCACTGATTTCAACTGGAACCACTGGAACCCCCAGGACTGAATGCCATGAAGATATCTTTGCTTTCCTTTGCATACTGACTTCATTCTTTTTTCTCTCTGTTTAATGGCCCATAGCAAAAGAGGTCCCTGAATTTTACATCTTACAACCACAGCTACATGCAGAGACTAACCCAAATTCCTAGATCTAAAGTACAAAAAGTCCTCAGAAAAGATTCATTGATCCAACAGGGATGACATACACACGCCTAGACTAGTCAACGGTAGCACAAAGTCTTACTGACTTACTAAGAACATCCACACCCAGACGCATGGCCAGGTGCTGGGTCACAATCTTCTAACATGGCAATTTCCATAGAGGTCCACTGCCAATGTCATTTCGAGGGAAAACATGACCTCATCACTTAGCCCACCTATCTTACTTCTAACTTCAAGAAAGCCCCCACTAAACCCAGGCAGCCAAGCATTCATCTGTGTCTCCATCTCAATTGGCAGCATACACAAAATTCCTTATTTTTATATCAAATTTTTAGCACATATTAATTATACAAGAGCGTTTTTATTATGATCTTTCCATACATACCTACAATGTACTTTGATCAAGTTTAACCCCTCGGTTACTCTTTTTATTCCCCCTCTCCCCTCTTTTTAATAATTTTTGACAGGTTTTATTTTTCTATTTTCATACAATGTATAAAATTCTTTTTATTTAGTATGTTTATGAGCATACATTAGTTGTACAGGGGGGTTTCATTGTGACATTTCCATATGTGCTTAGAACATAACCTCGGTGAGTTTCATCTCCTCCATCATTTTCCCTCATCCTCCTCCTCCCTACTCAAAACAATTTCAACAGGTTTCATTATTTTATTTTCATACAAATATATAAAGTACATCAACCATATTCACCCTTCTTCACCCTCTCTGTTCACCCTCCCGTTCCCACTAATAATCATGCCTAACAAAACCTGTTTAACATTCCTTCATTCTTAAAGTGTATATTGTTCAAAGGGGTTTCACCATGGTGTTTCACCCAGGAATATATTGTACTTTACTCACATTAACCCCCTCTATTACTCTCCCTTACCCTTCATCCCTACCCCATATTATTCAACAGCTTTCAATGTAGTTTAGCAACTTTGATTTCTGCGTTGTTGCTGTTGTACTATATCACATTTTGGATAGCAGGGATGGAAGGCAAATTGGTCATAAAATCAGACCAGAAAAACCAGCAGCAAATGTGTAATGGTGACAGTTACTATCCTTACATAACAAATTCACCAACTCACCTTTTTTTGGGTGGTATTGGGATTTGAATCCCGGGCCTCCTGCTTACTTGATCCATGCTCCAGCTCTTTTTGCTTTAGAGTTTGTGTGTGTGTGTGTGTGTTACTGGAGTTTGAATTCAGGGCTCTGAGATTGCTAAGTAGGTACACTGCTACTTGGGCCACTCTGCCAGCCTTTTGCTTTAGTTGTTCTTTGGATAGGGTCTCAAATTTTTGCAGATAGGATCTCTCACTTTTTGCCCAAGGTCAGTCTCAGACTTCTAAACTCCTGCCTACTCTTCCCAAGTAGCTGGGATTACAGGTGTGTACCACCACACCTGGCTCCCAACTCACATTTTTGTTTATGTATTGTGTCCCATTAGTAATATTTTTATATAGGCTCAGGGTAATAGAGATGGTACCACATGTATAATGAAAGTCAAAAATACCTAATCATGCATTGACAGATATGTAAGATATATAGAGCAATAAAACAAAACCTAATAATACACTGTCAGTTTAATCTTCTACTATGAGTGAAAAATATCTAGTACCACCTTTCCTTGGGCTGTTGAACCATATATAATTTTGGACATCTGATTAAGGTAGAGGATGTTTTGAGAAAATTATGTCATTGACTTTCAAACTTATTTATGCTATGATTTTGTAGCATTGAGAAACTTGTTTTCTTAATTTGTTTTTCTTGAGTTATATAAATAATAAATGCAAAAGTCAGGCATGGTGGCACACATCTGTAATCCTAGCTTCTGAGGAGACTGAGGCAAAAGGATCACAAGTTCTAGGCCAGCCTACACTACATAATGAGTTTGAGGCCAGACTGGGCAACTTAGTGAGACCCTGTCTCAAAATAGAGGGAAAAAGGACTGGGGATGTTAGCACAGGGGAAGAAGCACTTGCCTAGTATGCACAAGACCCTGGATTCAATCTCTGTGCCAAAAGGGATCCAGAATAAAGTGGGAGGGAGAGGAAAAAACAATGGAAAAGTATTTTCCTCCAAACATTGAATAAAAATGGAATCAGGCAAAGGGTTAATATCCATAATATATAAAGAGCTCAAAAAACTAAATTAAATACCAAAAGAGCAAATAAGCCAATTAAAAATGGACAAACAAATTGGGCAGTTCTCAGAAATACTAATGGCTAATAAATACATGAAGAAAGGTTCAGCATCATTAGCCACAAAGGAAATGCAAATCAAAACCACACTGAGATTCCATTTCACCCCAGTCACAATGGATAGCATCAAGACGACAAACAACAGCAAATAATGGTGAAGATTTTGGGGGAAAAGGAACACTGTTGAGGGAATGTAAATTAGTGTGGCCACTCTAGAAATCAGTATGGTGGTTACTTTGAAAAAATTAAAATAGAACTCTTGGGCATTTGAGTCAACATATGATAGACTCACTTGCACACCCATGTTTATAGCAGTACTATTCATAATAGGCAAGCTATGGAATCAGCCTAGGTGCCCAACAACTGATGAATGGATAAAAAATGTACAGGGTGAATTCAAGTATAACATAGTTGATACATTGTAAGAACCTTTGTAAATATCACAATATACTCCCACCCAGCATAACAATAAAGGGAAAAAAAGAAAATGTGGTATTTTTACACAATGGAGTATTATTCAGCAATGAAGAATGAAATTATGTCGTTTGCAGGAAAATGGATGGAACTGGAGATCATTGTGTTGAGCAACATAAGCCCAGATCAGAAAGACAAATATCACATGTTCTTACTCATATGCAGAATCAAGATCTAAAAACTAATAATATGACATTATTTTTAAAAGGGGACTGTTAGGGGGAGGACTGGCTGGAGGAGAGGAAGGTTAAAAGAGAGGGCAATAGGGGGTGAAAATGATTGAAGTACACAATATACATATATACACACACACACACACATGAAAATAACATAAGGAAATCCACTAAAAACTGTTAGCAATAGGTGGGGGGAAGAGGGAGGAGATTAAGAAGGCATAATATAAGGAGTTAAATTTGATCAAAGTACTTTATATAATGTATGAAACTATCACAATGAAACCCCTTTGCACAATTAATTTATGATGTGTTAGTTAGCATTCCATCACC